AATGGATAGGGTACAAGTCTGCTCAGAGTATAGCAAAGTAAAATAAAGAATTAGTGAGTGACCTACATAACTTATCATTTTTTTTTTTGGCTACTGATGTTGGTAAGAAAACAGCTTAGAGTTGCCTGGGAGGAAAAAAAAGGAAAGAAAAGAAAACTGCTTAGAATCATCTGAGCTTCTACCCTAACTCCTTTTATTTTGCATGGTTTTAAAATGCAAAGAGTTTGCTGGTTATGTAACTATCACGTAAATTGAGGAAAATCATGCCTGTCTAGGTCGCTGGAAGTTCTTTTATAGACTAGGGGTGGCTGGCAAGCAAAGGCCACAAAACAGGTTTCATCTTCCTTTTTACCAAGTCCTCGTTTGGTTGACTTGAGATAGGTTAGTCATTGGCCCCTATTTGTTGGGAACACTTGCTAAATCTCAGACAGAGAAAATCACTTCTTTGTTTATTTTTGAATTGAGCAGCCTCCTGAGCCCTAGTGGACTCAGAGAGACTCCCAGAAAATCACCTCCTTTTTTTTTTGGAGATAAGAGTTTTGCTCTGTTGCCCAGGCTGGAGTACAGTGGTGTCATCTTGGCTCACTGCAACCTCTGCCTCTTAGGTTTAAGGGATCTTCATGCTTCAGCCTCTTGAGTAGCTGGGATTACAGGCATGCACCACCACACCTGGCTAGTTTTTGTATTTTTAGTAGAGACGGGATTTTACTATGTTGGCCAAGCTGGTCTCGAACTCCTGATCTCAGGTGATCCCCCCACCCAGACCTCCCAAAGTGGTAGGATTATAGGATTACAGGCGTGAGCCACCATGTCCAGCTGGAAATCACCTTTTAATATACTATTTTATTCAAGGAATCAGAGCAAAGAGGAAAAACAAGAATTACTTCTTTTGTTAACTCCATGAAAAATATGAGCAGTTGTCCTAGTAAGCCATTTGATCATTTTCACAATGATGTGTATATAGAGCCTGCCTGTTTAACCTTTCTTTTGAACAGAATTGGATAAATATGACCAAATCTTTGGGGTTAGGATTCTTTAATACTGTCCTCGGGTCCTTTACTGTGAAAACATTTTCCAGGTAGAATTTTTTAAGTTAAAGTTCAAGAAAAAGCTATATGTGAAAAAATGACACACGTACATCTGAAGGTAGGTGAGATGACCGATGTTAGGGCACACAGATACCCATTTAAAGTGCTTATTGTTATATATTTATTTTAATGTCATAAAATCTGTGGTTTCATGAAGAATTGCTTGAGCCTGGAAGGTTGAGGCTGCAGTGAGCTGTGATTCCACTACTGCATTCCAGCTTGGGCCACACAGCACGACTTTGTTTCAAAAAAAAAAAAAAAAAAAAAAAAGACATAATCAGAGTCTGACTCACAGCTGTGAATTTACCTCACAACCTCAGACTCAGCCCTTGTTTTCTCTTTTCTTTTTGAGATTGAGTCTCACTCTGTTGCCCAGGCTGGAGTGCAATGGCATGATCTCGGCTCACCAACCTCCGCCTCCCGGGTTCAAGTGATTCTCCTGCCTCAGCCTCCTGAGTAGCTGGAATTACAGGCATCTGCCACCACACCCAGCTAGTTTTTGTATTTTTATTAGCGATGGGGTTTCTCCAGGTTGGCCCGGCTGGTCTCTAACTCCTGACCTCAGGTGATCCACCTGCCATGGCATCCCAAAGTGTTGGGATTATAGGTGTGAGCCACTGCTCCAGGCATTTTCTCTTTTCTACAGTGGAAACATTAAAACCCTTCACAATATATAATCATAAGTCTGATGGTGGGTCACTTTAGATCGTGAGCACAGGTGAAAGCTTGTATCAGCTCTAGAAAAATATGGAGAGTGTTACCTACAGGACAATGTTGTTGTGAGGCTTAATCCCATTACTTTATATGAAATAGGTGCACCAAAGAGGGAGTGGCTTTCTTGTTTATTTCCAACACTCTTTGCAAAACCATGGGGGATAAATGGTTTGAACGATGCTGAGATATTTTAGGCTGTTAAGCACTCATCAAAGTTTCCTTTTAGATGTAATGACTTTTAGGTCATTAAATGAGGTAGGTAGGTTGATAGAGACAGCTGAGGATGGGAATGACTACATTTATGTTTGCTGATTGACTGATATCCCCCAGTGTACTAACTTCAAACCTAAATAGTCTCAGAGGTGTAAGATCATTCTATTGTCTTTTGTGGTGACTTTTTCTCTTGCTCTATTGAAGAACAGAAAAGAAATGGAGATTTCTGTATTGACTGAAATGTAATAGTTAAATGTTTTTCTTGACAGTCTTAAGGTAGCAACAACAATAATAAACATACATACATACATGTATATCTAGGACAATAATTTTAGTTAATCGGGTGATTTTTTCTAGATTTAGGCATATTTTAAGAAAAACAGATTTACATTGAAAAAATTTCAAAACTGTAGATTGCATTTTTCATAGACATTCCTCTACACACACATACATACATACATACACACACACACACACACACACACACACACACTCACTCCTTTTCAGGGCTTCAAAGAACTACAAGCGTCTGAGCTAAAAGGAATTTGTGAGGTCTTTTATTCCAAGTCCTTCATTTCATAGCTGAGGATCAGAATGGTAGTGAGCAGAGAAAACTAGTTCTAGAACTGAGAATTAAACATATCACTCTTTAGTATGAGGATTTCCTTAGTACTGTGTGGCAGTTAAAAAAATAAGGTGGGTCTGTGTGTAAGCTGTGGAGCTCTCCAGGTGAATGTGCACTCAGGGTAGAGGGTGGAGGCATTGGCGCCAGGTGCGTCAGAGGAAGGAGGACCGACAGAGTGAGTTCCTCAGGTGAGTACTTGGAGGAATGAGGAGCGATGGGGAGAATGTGGTCCTGAGGATCTGGGATCTGGGAAAATGTCTGGCAAATCAGAGGAAGGGAGCTTCACTTCATCTGAAAGGATGTAGATGCCCTCCTCTCCATCTCTTCAGTCCCTCCTTTAGAACAGATAACACAGCTCATATGTGGGCCCTTTTTCTAATCATCTCCTGGACAAGATTCTCTTCTTCTAGGTCCAGCACTTAGAAAATCTTCTCAGGCTGGAGACGGTGGCTCCTGTAATCCCAGCACTTTGGGAGGCCAAGTTGGGAGGATTACCTGAGGTCAGGAGTTGGAGACCAGCCTGGTCAAAGTGGTGAAATGCTGTCTCTACTAAAAATACAAAAATTAGCTGGCTGTGGTGGCACACACCTGGAATCCCAGCTACTGGGGAGGCTGAGGCAGGAGAATCACTTGAACCTGGGAGGCAGAGGTTGCAGTGAGCTGAGGCTGTGCCATTGCACTCCAGCCTGGGCTACAAAGTGAGACTCTGTCTCAAAAAAAAAGAAAGTCTTCTCAATGGACTCCCCAGCCTCCTCAGCTCCATCATTGGCAGTTATGAGGGTTATGGGGAGCACTCCTTGCATTGGAAGTAAGACCTCCCACTTCAACAGGTTGATTTTCCACAATCAGCAGCATTAGGCACAATGGATCATTCCCTCCTTTTTGATGAGGCCGACCTGGGAATGAGGCTTTTTGTGACAGAAATAGGGATGAAAAGCATTGTGAGATCAGTCCTGGTCCCTCAACGCAGGCAGTCATGTCGAGGCTGTGTGATGGTCTCTGGGATGCCCCTGTCTCCTGGCTCTTCCCTTACGATCCAGACCTTTCATTCTCAGGCTCTTCACACATTTTTCCTCTTGTCTCCGGTAACTTGATGTTGGAGGTCCCCAGGAATTAGCCAGGGTCTCCTTCTCTATCTGCACACAATCCCTTGGTGATCTTATCCAGTCTCAAGGGTTTAAATGTTGGTGATTCTCCAACAACTCCCAACTACATACCTCCAGCCCAGCTCTCTCTCTTTGGATTAGTACCTCGGACTATCTGACATCTTCACTTGGAGGTCTAACAGACCCTTCAGACGTATCATGTCCCACATTAGCTGGGTGTGGTGGTGTGTACCTGTAACCCCAGCTACTTGGGAGGCTGACGCACAACAATCGTTTAAACCTGGGAGACGGAGGTTGCAGTGAGCTGAGATCGTGCCACTGCACTCCAGAGATCGGGCCACTGCTCTCCAGCCTGGGTGACAGAGCCAGACTGTCTCAAAGGAAAAAAAACCCTACCCATTGCTCCCTCATTCTCCTTTCTGCTTTATTTTTTCCATAGAGCTTATCACCTTGACAGTCTGTGTAATTTACATGTATGCTTATTGTCTGCGAGTACAGGTTATGTGTCTAAGTCACTGGAATGTGACCTCCGTGAAAGCAGAGTTTTTTTTTGTATGTATGTCCTGTGTTCTCTGATGACTCCCACATACCTCTAACCGCGCCTGGCACACAGGTACTCAAGAAATGTTTGCTGAATAAGACTCCTCAAATCAAGAGCCCCTGTAGGCCCTAGGAACGCTGCAAAATAATTGTACTACAGGCACCCGTTTGTGGGAATACTCACAGCACTAAAACCTTTAATTAAGAGGGATCTGAACACCCTAAGACGTTTCTGCAAAACTCCAGGCAGCAACTCCGCAAAGCACCATGGCCGCCACACACTGTCCCTGAGATGTCAGAGTCACTGACGGATTTGGGCTCCAGGACAGCCTTCACCAAGATGCTGACGTCGCTGAGTCTCCGCCCACGACAGGTTCACCACTGGCAGGTTCACCAAGGTGTGCAGACACCCCCACTCCTCATGTGACAAGTTACTGGTGGCCCAACCCCTGTTTATCGGTGGGAACTTCAGCCCTCCCTGACGAAGCAGCTGTGAGAGAGGCCGCTGGCTGAGGTCGGAGAAGGCGGGAATCCTCACCCCTGTCCGACCTCAGCCCGCGCGCGGCCCCCCTCACAGCGGCTCCAGCGGCGGCAGAGCTGCGCCGGCGGCCCTGGAAGGTGTAAGTGCGCCTTCCAGCCAGCAGAGGGCAGGAGCGGCCGCGAGGTCCAAGGCCGGGCTTGCGCGGGCTCCGGCCTGGCGCCTTTCCCCGCTGGTTCCGCCTCTCCCCTCAGCTCCCCGCTTCTTCCTGGGCGGGAGTGAGGGAATGGAGGCGGGCTGGGGGAGTGAGCGTGTGCGGGTGTGGAGGTGTGCGCGTGTGTGTTGGTGTAGGGAAGCCTGTGCTTCGGGAAAGCTTTCCCGGCCGGCATGAAGCTCTCTGGGCTCCCGGGTCCGATTTTCCCACAGCAAATGTCTGTACTATGCGGACATTGAAATAGAATAAGGTCTACTCACCACCCGATGGCGGCTCACAGGCTCTAGGGAGGGGATCTGAAGCCACTCCACCGAGCCACCCCGCTTCCATCATAGAGACAACCCCTAGACTCGCCTGCACCGCGCTGGAAAGAGCCGCCTGGAGGGAGGACGCCGAGCGGAGGCAACTCCTCCGGTGCGGCCCTTTAAGTGCTGGGGCCGATTTCAGCCGCCGCCACGGTGGTCGGCAGGGGACGCTGAGCCGCCGAGACCCCGCGGGCCGAGACGCACCAGAGCTGCGTCTCCTGGTTCTTAGCCGAGGCGGACTTGAGCTTCCAAAAGCCTCCTTAAGCACCGAGGAAGCAGGAGAATAAACAGCCTTCAAATAATGAGCACCTGCTGTGTGCCGCGAGCTCTCCATCGCGGAAGTGGCTGGGTGCGCAGGAGGGCAGGGCGGTGAAGGAGGGACGGCGGCCCCACTCGCCGCCTGCCAGCCGCGGGCTCTGCTCAAGTCTATGCTGCATCGCTAGGTTAGTTTACAGTTGAATTTCAGAGCTTCATTCTTTAAACTTTCTGTTATCAGAGACCATTCCTTAGCAGGCGCAGAAAGGGCTACAGTGAGGTAGGCTGTTTGATTTTTCTTTTACATATACAGATATGTTGTGCATACAAACGGCAGAGGTAAATTCAAACACTGGGAGAGCAAATGTAGCGAAAAGGTTGAAGACATGCTACTTGTCTTTTCCAGATGCAACACTTTGCAGTGCTTTGATATCCTTTTACAGTCTATGCATAGCTACACGCTATATTCATAAGCTCATTGACATGTATATAGATTAGTTTTTATCTCCCATTTTCCCCCCACAAATAGTAACATTCTATACACAACATTCTACAACATTACCTCTTTCCCACTAACAATGTATTTTAGACATATTTCACACCAGTAACAAGAGTATACCTCATTCTATTTTAACGTCTGCATAGTGCAGGCAAACCTCAGAGATATTGCGGGTTTGGTACGAGACTATTGCCATTTTTATTTTTAAAAACACACTTTTTTTTGTTTCCCAGTGCATGTAACAGTTATGCTGAAGGTGGCCATTGAGACTTGAGAACTCACAGGAAATAGAGTTTGTACATCTTGTACATTGGCATTTGTGTAGACAAAAACTTCCTTGGCGCAGTGCTTGGATTATGGACAGTGTTTTGAGGGTTCCAGTCCTAAGTGTATGATACAAATCAGTCAGCCTTTATAAGCAGGTAGGGCACAATGGACTGAGGGTGAAGCTATGGTCTGGGCCTGGGGTATCAGTGCAGTGATGGAAAGGCACATACAGGGAGGTGACTGGCGGGGTCAGTTTGTCGGACAGGGACTAGCCTTAGGATGCTGGCTTCCTGGAAAAACAACAGAGGAACTCAGACATGATTCACAAGCCTGGGGCCATGGCCATCTGGAAAGACCAAGCAGAGACTGGTGTGGTCCAGTGAAGGTAAGTTTGATGGCTGTGGATGCAGCCACAGGGGAGTCCCTTAATCCCTCCTACAGGTCACGGAGGAGAACTACAGTAAGGCATTTCAAGTAGTCACTTACCGAAGACTGCTCCAAGCAGGTCACCCTGCCATTAGCAAGGACATGGAAGGTAGGGTGGGTCAGTGGCTCGGCCTCCCTAGGTAAGGCTGTTGCATGGGAGGCCTTGTTAGAGACGTCTTGGGAATTTTTCTTGCCAGTTTTTCATCATTTCCTATTGGCCTTTTTTTGGGCAGAGGTCACATATATCTGAGGTAATGAAATGTGCAAGAATAGCCTGCAAAAGCAGTATCATTCTCCATCCCATAGAGCTTCCAAAGACTTCTTGATCTTAGTAATTTTTTGTAGGAGGAAATTTCATTCATAATTAGCTAACTGCATTATTTTCTGCAGTTTTAAGAGAACGCCAGGCTTGAATGTCTGTCTAAAGCACATTGCCTTTATGAAAGGACACATGGGAGTTAGAATGAGAGTTCTGCTACTCACCAACCACATCACCTCAGACAAGGAGCTTGCCTGCTCCGTTCCACCAAGGAAACACTAAAACCCGTTACGAATGCAGCAGATAATAAGCCTGCTGTTGTATCACTAGCATCTTGAGCACGGGTGAACACGTGTGCCATCTCAGTAAAGATGAGAAGAGTGTTATCCCCCTGGACCATACCTTTGTGAGTTTGAATCCCAATTGCCTTGTATGAAATGGGTGAACCAAAGTGCTGGTGGTTTCTTTATTTTTAAGCCTCCTTGTTAAACCATAAGACACAAAAACAGTGAATAGTGTTGGGACCTTTTGACGGTTTAGCACCTGCCAAATAAATCTTCATTTTAGGTTTAATGAGTTTGATGCCTCTTGTTCTCCTGAAACCAATAGTAGGTTACAGAAGGAACCTCATTAGACACGGATATGGATGGGATGCAGTATGTGAATGTCTGCTGACTTAAAGGTTCTCCTAGCATACTGGGCAGTCCTCTGGTCTAGAGGCATGACATTACTGTAGTCGTTTGTGCTTGCTGATATTTTCCATTGGACAATTGAATGATAGTTCTGAGGGACAGTCCTTGGTCATTCCCTGCAATAAAACTGGTTAGTTTTTGCTGGAAAGTCTTAAACTAATTATGCAATTTGCGTGTAGCAATAATTTAATCACACAATATTTCACTTTATCTAAATCCACAATATTTTAAGAATATTTGACTCTCAGGACCTATCAGCACAGAGATATGGAGGACATTACATTTTCTGCAGAGAGTTTGCCACAGACAAACACACGCATAGGCACACACCCACACCCACACCCACAACCACATCAGGAACTCTGCGGAACACAGAGAGTCTGAGCTGGGAAGAGGCTGAGAACACTTTTATTCTAAGCTTCTCCTTTTCCAGCTGAGAGAAAGATGAGGTGATCTGCCAAGCTCCCACAAAAATTAATGGTAGATTTGGAATTGTTCACCTGTGCCTTTCTCTTCAGGATTCTATATGGACTAAGTGGAAATAAAAAGCAAGGTGGGCCTCTAGGTGTTATGAAATGAATTGTGTTCCCCCAAAATTCGTATGTGAAGCCATACCCTTGGTAGCTCTTAAAGTGACAGTGTTTGAGGATGGGGCTTTTCAAGAGGTAATTAAGTTAAAATGAGGCTTTTAGGTTGGGCCCTAATCGAGTTTGATTGGTGTCCTCATAAGAAGGAGAGATTAGGACACACAAGAGACACCCAGGATGGGAACATGCACAGAGGAGTGACCATGTGAGGACACAGTGAGAAGGCAACTGTCTGCAGGCCATGGACTGAGCCCTCAGAAGAAACCAGAACTGCCAATGCTTTACTTTGTGTGATGGTTAATACTGAGTGTCAACTTGACTGGATTGAAGGATACAAAGTATTCATCCCAGGTGTGTCTGTGAGGGTGTTGCCAAAAGAGACTGACATTTGAGTCAGTGGGCTGGGGAAGGCAGATTCACTTTTAATCTGGTGGGCACAATCTAATTAGCTGCCAGCGAATATAAAGCAGGCAGAGAAACAGGAAAAGGAGAGACTGTCCTAGCCTCCCTGAGCCTACATCTTTCTCCTGTGAGGGATGCTTCCTGCCCTTGAACATTAGACTCCAAGTTCTAAAGTTTTGGGACTCTGACTGGCTCTCCTTGATCTTCAGCTTACAGACAGCTATTGTAGGACCTTGTGATCCTGTAAATTAATACTTCATAAATTCCCACACACGTGTGTGTGTGTGTGTGTGTGTGTATCCTTAATATTCTGTCTCTCTAGGGAACCGTGTCTAATACACCTTGGATTTCTAGTTTCTAGAACTGTGAGAAAATAAGTTTCTCTTGTATAAGCCACCTAGTCTGTATTTCATTCTAGCAGCCCCAGGAAGGAAATAGAATGGGTAATCTGCAGAGGTCTCCACGAGAAAGGGCAGGGCAGAAGCGGGGGATTAGAGAGAAGGAAGGTGCTGGAGAGGGGTGCTTGAGAGGGATGGAAGAATTGTTAAGTAAGTTGAACTGATGAGTCTGTAGAAGAGTGAGGAGAGATAGAGACAGCCACAGTTCATTTGAAGTATTGAGCTGGGGTAATGGAAAAGTAGGACCAGTGTCTCAGGGGAAGGGAGACATACATGCTCTATTCTCCTCCTTTTCATTCCCTCCTCTGGGAGGAAAATATGACTCTGGGGTGGACCCTCTTTCTTCTAACCTCCTGGACAAGACTGTCTTCTCTAGGTCAAGAACTTTGAAAATCTCCTGAATCCTCTGCCCAGACTCCTGTCCTCCAATAATTTGAATCATAGGAATCCCTGACATTTGGAATGAGACAATTTCCCCCAGCCCCAGTCTCTTTCTGGGTCAATTTTCCATTCTTACTTTACTGATCTATCACAAGCATTTAACATAGTATCACTCCCTCCACCTGGGATGATCTGGGAATGAGCTTCCTGTGACAGAAACAGGGATAAAAAGCATCATAAATTCAGTCGTGGTGCCCTCAAGGGAGATAGTCAGGCTGCCTCTCAGTACGCAGGACACTTCTATCTCCTGGCCTGTCCCCCACCCTACAGGGCTTTCATTCTCAGTCGCCTGTGTGAATCCCTTCTCTTTCCCCTGGAAACTTGTTGTTGGAGCTCCCTAAGGGTGAATGGTGGGCTTCTTCTTGATCCGTATGATATCTCTTGGTTTTCATCAGTGGGATCAACGGATGAAATGCCATCAACTCCCAAACCAATCCCAAATCTGCAGCCCGGCTCTCTTGGTTGAGCTATAGACTCTTGCATCCAATTTGTTATTTGATAACACCACATGGAGGTATCATATATGTTGCAGACTTTTTACACCCAAGTGGAAACACTGAACTTCTCCCAAAATCTCATCTACCAGTTCCTATCTCAGTTGAAGAGAATTCCATCATTTTCAGTGAAAACCAAAGTGGTTTGAAGTAATCCTTTATGATTTCATTCTCTGACATACTCCAGCTAATCTCTGGAAAAAGACTGTTGTACCTTCAAAACGTGCCTGGATCTGATTACTGATTCCTGTTTCCACTGCAACCACCAAGTCAAAGACACCAACACCTCCCTCTGGCAGAACTGCAAGACCTTGTCACTGTGTCCTGCTTTCATCTTCACCGCCCACAGCGGCCAGAGTGATCCTTTACACCATAACTCAGGTTCTGCAGCTCTGCTGCAGGCATTTCACTGAATAAAAGCTGGGATCCCTACAATCTCCTGTGCCATAAAGTAATCTATCTTCCTACACACTTTTTAGGACACATCTTCTATTCTTTTGACTCTCAATCACTCCCCTCTAGTTTCCTGACCTTTTGCTGTTCCTTGAGGACACCTGGCATGTACCTGCCTCATGGCTACTTTAGCCCACCCACCTGCATGTGCCGGGCTAAGTTCTTCATCCCCTGTAAGTCTTTGTTCAAAAGCAATTTTCTCAAGGAAACCTATATAAAAATGCTTGTCATATTAAAATGAACAAATAATGGAGCATGGACTTCTATCTTAAATTCATTATAACTTCTTTCCTGATTTTTAGCACCCTGAAACACCTTCCCTCCAAGTACTTGGTCTTTCTCATTACCTAAGAATCTGAAAGTACAGTTAAACTGTTGCAAGCAATAAGGGACAGTTATGGCTTAATGAGCAGCTTATCAGAACTCAGATGATGGAAAGAGAACCCAGTTACTCTTTCTCCATACCCCTCACTGCTCTATCTTGGTTCACTTTTCAGGCATATGTCCTTTACATATTGGCAAGATGGTTGCAACAGCCCCAAACCTTATATTATCTCAGAAATAGGTAGAGGAGAAAAAAATCTCCTGCTTTATTCCCCCAGCATTCTCAGCCAATCTCTCTAATTGTTTCAAAGTCGCATCTCAGAACCCACAAGGACCTCTGAAATGGGATGAATGCTCTATTTGGTCAAGTGTGGCCCAAGAATGCTGGTGGTCTTCAAACCCTTTTTGGGGTATCTCCTTTCCAACCACTCATTTATGTGAGGCCAGATTCTCTTTCTATAATTCAACAAAACATCGTAAAAAAGATTGAATACCAGGCAGACGTGAACATCCAGATGTCTATATAGACTCAGACATTAAAGAGATTTTGAAAATGCAAAACAATGCCATTCCTTTTTAATTTTTTTGTTTTAAAAAATAGGATTTCTCTTCAAAAAGTAGTGATCTTTATGTGTAATTATATGAACTAATTTATGATTAATAATTAAAAATGTTTTAGTTCTAATTTCTAATGAGAAAAATATGAATCATCAACATAAACGAAGGTTTTTTTTTGTGGTTCTTAGAGACTCTCAGGCAGTAAAGTGATCCTAAAGAACGTTGGGTGGAGGGTCAGGGTGTGTGGATGAGGTGGGATTTGTCCCCCACTAAAACAGGAGTCTTACTCACCCTGCAGCTGCTGCTCTGCTTTGACTTTGTGATGGATTGTCCCAGTATCGGGCTAATATT